ACATGGTTTAGAATTTCTATTTGCCAGTTTTCTGTTACGTTTTGATGGTTTATTTTCCTCATTTTTTCGACTCATTAAAATAAACTAAATTAAATTTATGCTTTCAAAATATAAATTAATTTATACTAAACTATCGTTTTCAAGTAAGAGAATGTAAAATAAAAATAATATTTTTAGGAAAAAATCCGTCTCTCTATCCTTAGCAACGGAAACAATTTTTCACCAGCGTAAAGCTAATAAGAAAAATTGCCCTTTTACACTACTGAGAATATCAGCGAAAGTTTCACCATTTTAACACCGTTAGGGGCTACTGATAAACACTGGTGAAGTGAAATATACACTGTCAGCATATTTCGGTGCTACTGGTAGTGTATGCCACGAAGAACGAGCCGTAGTTTTCAATCCTATATTTGAATCGATCTTCGTGAAAAATCAATGTGACCATTATAACCTGATGGAGACCTTGTAAAGTAACTTTTTTGAGGAGGTACATAAAGCATCTTGGTGTTTAACAAAAACGATTTTCCTCAAAATTTAATATAAAGTTACGGTAAAGCTTGATATAGAAAAATAGCTCTTGAAAAGCTCTACAGTATTCTGACTAATCTCGTCGACCATAATAGCTAGAATAAATTTGAAAAAAGATTTGAACAGCTGTAAGAATTTCTGATCTTAGGTGATGTATACGGGCGTTCCATCAAAACTTCTCAGATAGGGGTCTCTGGAAAACCAAAATCTGAGCAAACCAGGTCTCCGAGTTCAATCTAGAAATCCTTTGGAGATGCATCTATCATGCAGAGAAAACATTTCTAAAGAAAATGAGACGTCTCCCAGCTCTCTACGACATTTATTCATGGAGCAGGATTCAATTTATAGAAAGGCTCCACACCAGCAATACTAACGGGAAAATATGAAGATACGCTCTTAGGGCCTTTTGTAAATTGAATGCTGCTCAGTGAATAACTGTCGTAGAGAGCTGTGAGACGTCTCATTTTCTTTAGAAATGTTTTCTCTACATGATGGATACATTTCCAAAGGATTTCTGGATTGAACGCGGGGACCTGGTTTTCTGGGATTTTGGTTTTCCAGAGACCCTTACTTGACGAGTTTTGGCGGAATGCCTGTATACATCACCTAAGATCGGAAATGCTTCCCTTTTCAGTTCCCAACACTTCTCATCCGTATGTCTTTTCCTGAAGAAATCGATATTTCTTCAAAAGCACTACATCTTTCAAGTGAAGAAATAGATGCTGCTTCGAAAGAACTTCATGTTTTCTTGTCAAGAAATCCATGGTTCTTCAAAAGATTCTAATGTTTTGTCGTGAATCGATGTTTCTTCAAAAGAACTTCAAGTGCAGAAATCAGTGTTTCCTCATGAGAACTTCGTGTTTTGTACTGCAGAAATTAATGTATCTTCAAAAAATGTTTTCAAGTGGAGAAATACATGCTGCTTCAAAAGAACTTAAGGAGATCCGTAAGAGATCCGTATGTCTTAAGAGATCCGTATGTCTTTTCCTGAAGAAATCGATATTTCTTCAAAAGCACTACATCTTTTCAAGTGAAGAAATAGATGCTGCTTCGAAAGAACTTCATGTTTTCTTGTCAAGAAATCTATGGTTCTTTAAAAGAAACTCATGTTTTGTCGTGAAGAAATTGATCTTTTTTCAAGAGAAGTTCATGCTTTCTCCTGAAGAAGTTGATGTTTGTTCAAAAGAACTACACGTTTCAAGTGAAGAAATTGATGCTGCCGCAAAAGAATTACATGTTTTCTCGTCCAGAAATCCATATTTTTGTAAGAGATCCGCATATCTTTTCCGGAAGAATTTGATGTTTCTTCAAAAGCACTACATCAAGTGAAGAATACATGCTGCTTCAAAAGAACTATCTGTGTTTTGTGCTGAGGAAATTGATGTTTCTTCAAGAGAACTTCATGTTTTTTCGTGAAGAAGTTGATGTTGCTTCAAAAGAACTACACGTTTTCAAGTGAAGAAATTGGCGCTGCCGCAAAGGAACTATATATTTTATCGTGAAGAAATCCATATTTCTTTATGAGATCCGCATGTATTGTCCTGAAGAAATTGATATTTCTTCAAAAGAACTTCATGTTTTCACGTGAAGGATTGGCTGTTTCTCCACAAGAACTTCGTCACTTTTCCCGAGAAACTTTGCGATTTTTCACCAGACACTCGACGATCTTCCGGCGTAAATCGAGCTTACGTGAGGAGAACGTGATGACCTTGACGACCAGATGTTCCTTCACAGGAAGCGCACCTCTTCTCCTGGAAAATCCAATGTTTCTTCAAAAGAACTTCATTTCTTTTTTTGGGAAACTTTGCGGTTATTCACGAGAAACTGGAGTTTATTGCGGGGTATATCGAGCTTATGCGAGGAGAACGTGATGATTTTTCCTGTAAAGAGCAGATGTTACTTCGCAAAAAAGTGCACCTTTTCTCCTTGAAAACCCATGTTTCTTCAAACGAACGTCATGTTTTCTCGTGAAGGAATGGCTGTTTCTTCACAACAACTTCATCTCTTTTCCCGGGAAACTTTGCGGTTATTCACGAGAAACTGGACTGTTTTCCGCGGTAAATCGAGCTTACGTGAGGAGAACGTGATGTTTTTTCCTGCAGAGACCAGATGTTTCTTCACAAGAAGTGCACCCTTTCTCCTTGAAAACCCAATGTTTCTTCGAAAGAACTTCTCATGTTTTCTCGTGAAAAAATCGATGTTTTTCCACAACAACTTCGTCTCTTCTCTCGAGCAACTTTTTTGCGGTTATTCACGAGAAACTGGACTGTTTTCCGCGGTAAATCGAGCTTACGTGAGGAGAACGTGATGTTTTTTCCTGCAGAGACCAGATGTTTCTTCACAAAAAGTGCACCTCTTCTCCTTAAAAACCCAATGTTTCTTCAAAAGAACTTCGTTTTTTCTCGTGAAGAAATCGATGTTTTTCATAGTGTATAAGTCATTAATGAAAAAGGTAAACTGTCGGGTCGTCGGGGACACGGTGTAGCTGTCAAGGTGATCTAGGAACTAGAGAGGGTTTTCTAACGTATAATGTGCAGTGGCTTTATTAAAGAAGGGACGGAGTTTCTGGTCGAGAAAGCTTGAAAGTTTGGCCGTATGCGATTTGATCCCGGCTACTATTAGACGCAGAGGCTCACCAATTTTGTGGTGTTTTGGGTTGTAATATAGATGTGGTAGTTCGCACTCATCTAGAGAGGGTCTGAATTTCCGATACTGCGTCTGGTTGATACGTTTCTGTCGAAGAAATAGTCTTAAAAGCTCATCTAATTCGGAAACAGTGTGTTGGAGAGGGTTATCAGGGATTTCTTCATACGCACTAGTTTTCTCCATATAGGTATCTGATTTGCTTTGGTATGCAGTCGGAGTATCCAAGTGGAATATTTTTGATTTATCGGTTTTTCGAAATACGACTCTGTCTTCCGATTGTTGTTTCTAGAGGGTCCTAATAGCTTCGGAAAGATGTGGATCAGAACGCTGCTTAGAGATTTGCTCTCTCAACTGAAATGTTATTCGATCGGCAAAAGAATCAACTACTGGACGAGGAATATCGGGAGCTCGGATTTCTTCGTTGAAGCGGGTTTGGATTTTCTGGCGCATAGTCTCAATCTCAGAGTTGAGGCGACGAACTGCTGTTGTCGGATTAGGTGGAACATACGCTGGACCTTTATTTAGTACCTGACGCTGATGACTGTCTAGATTGATGGCGTAATTTTTAATTTGAGGCGGAAAACTGATAGTGGTGTAGTAGGGGTGGACTTTTGATTTTGCATAAGGCACTATCAGGTTTACGGTGGAAGCTGCTTTTTTGCACTTTTCTCTAAAAAATGAACTTTTTTGAGGGTCTTTTGTTCGTTCCTTTTTGAAAGATTTGAAACGATAATGTCAATGTGCACAAGGAAAAGGGACGAGGGATGTCAATGTGCGCAGTTTTTGGCGAACGTTATGAACTTCTCTCTCAATTGCTTCTATCTCAAGGTTCTTAGTTAAAATCATGCACTCGGTTAAAGTCAACTTTGTTTGTCGTACGGTGTTATTCCAGCGCTCCACAATGGGAAAAACTTCAGGGCAGTCGGTGGGTAAGTGTGTTTTTAGTGTGTGAGGGTCAGGGTGAGAGTGAGCACACACTTACCCACCGACTGCCCTGAAGTTTTTCCCATTATCGAGCGCTGGAAAAACACCTTACCACAAACAAAGTTGACTTTGTTTTCGATTTTCGAGACCCTATGAGTTTTTTCAATTTTTTGACATGAAAAAAGTATTGATGATTTAATTCAAAACACGTATCTCAGTTATCAGTTCATAAACTAGTTTTACATTAATAGAAATTATATGGCGAATAGCGAGCCACGGTCCTTATTTAAAAAAGAATCGTTTCCTAAGAAATACAGAGAACGAAGTGTGAACGTATACAATCTTTACAATTCGTCTTTGCTGATAATGCATGCGAAAAAGAGAATGAGTAATAAGAACGCTTATCGAGGTCATGATTTTCTTCGTCGCTCTTTTATTTGGATCGATGGATCTTTTCTCTTTCATTCGGTGCTGTTTTGTACTACGAATACTAGAGCATATCAAGGTTTCGAAATGTAGGAAAGTCTTGAATCTGGTAGAGGACTCGAAAATATATGAATCGAACCAAGAAGAAGAAGAGGCTAAGATAGTTCTAAAGGACGAGTTACATAGCATAATTAACTTAAAATGTCAAAAAACATTATTTAATTTGTCCTTCGGACATTTCAGGATACTCATATAAAGAACAGGAAAATTCAAATCCAAAAGAAAACAAAATAATTCCATTACTGATGAGACTCAAACTTCAGCTGACTGATTTTCGACGCTATCGTGTTTGAGTGGGTGAACACTGTATCAAAGTTACATCTGCTCGAATACTTTCACTAATTCGTCAAGAATGGTACTCTGTTGATTGAAAACGACTTGTGTTGATCGAGTTGCCAGTACTGGATCGCTGGTCACTATGGGTGAGACAACATTGCTTCCTCTACAGTTCTAATTTCTGCTAGTGTATCTTCTGCTTGACGACATTCCGGTGACAATTTTGTTTCAAATATGAAAAGAGCATCTGCCAAACATTTTAGAGCTTCCTTAAAACTTTTGTTGACTGCACGTGCTTTACCAATGTAATAAAGCGATTCACCAGCAGGATGTTCTGAAGAGAATAATATTACTCGAAGTTTGAATGCTCTTGTTAAATGAATGAGTGCACGATCAGGCATCTTTCTACTAATATAAAATATACCTATTTTTATAGAAATATCTGCTATGCCTGAATATTCGAGAGGTACATATTTATCAAGCATAGTTAAAGCTTGCATATAATACTTTAGTTTTGTCTTCATCCTTTGTAATGTCTCCAATTTTTACAAGAATTTTAGCAATGGTTGAATGATTTTCTGACAACATGCTGAGTTTTGTTTTGCAAAAATTTAAAGCGGCATCATCTCCTTCTTTGCTCTGATATGTATCAACCATGTCATTAAAAGTCTCATTCAATTCAGAATGGTCACTCGACAACGTCTGCTCTTGTATATTGAGTGCTTCGTGGAAGCACTGAAGTGCAGTGTCATATTCATTGTTTGTATAATAAGTACTGCCGATATGTCGTAGAGTAGTTGCAACATATGGATGTTCGTTAGGCAGTAGTCTTCTGTACATAACAGGAATGTTTCAAATAGACGTGAGTGAATAAGTGATAAAGTGACAGAATAAGAAAGAGAAAAAAATCGATGATGTTAACGATAGAAAAGGAAAAAGAAGTACTTATATATAAATAACCAGGGCCGCAAATAGGAGCCGAACATTAGGGGGGTGTAAACCAAAATTTCTCTCTGAGGTAGTGTGAAATTGATAAAAAAAATGCGAATCTTTTAAAACAGTCATAGTACGAAAGCCGAAAAATATTTTTCGGCAAAGAAGCAAAAGAATTTAAAAACTATTTAGTGACAATTTTAGTGTTGACACACCGGAAGTTCAATTCTCCTGTCCTTCATTTTACCCCAATCACTAGCTAAAGCAGCTAAATCTAATTGATCTAGTTTATCTTTCTCGATGGCACATAACATCAAATGAAATAATCTTTCATTCGACATTGTTGTTCTAAGATAATTTTTAATTTCGAAAACGATCGTTCATTAGTAGCAATGGACACCGGAATTGTTAACAAATATTTAAAAACTAATTGTGCTTGTGGATATCCATTGTTTCTTTTCATTAAGTCACACGCTTCATTCATATCGATACAATTTGAAATTTTTAATTTCAATAACTGAAGTTCAGAAAATAAAAGTTCACCATCATCGAGAGTTGGAACTATTTTTTGTAATTCTTTTGCATCATTCATTGAAAATAAATGAATAAACTTAGGTGATAAATGTGCAAACCATTTTAACTTCTCACTCAAAGTTGTTAAATAATCTTTAAATTCTTCATTCATATTGCTGAGAATTCTAGAAAATATTGTACGAAAGTACTCTTGTCTATAAATGAAAGAAGAGAGGCAAACTTTACGATAAACGTCGCGTTCGTAAAGACTCCTACATTGATGCACATGTTTTCGTTCGTCGATGTATTCGAACAAACTCTTCATCTAAATCCACTTTAACATTTAATTTTGAAAGATCATTTTCTGCTACCTAGGAATTAGCAATATTTGTATTACGCTTAGTTCAGCAAAATGAATAATCTTTAATATTTACTTTTAAAATTGAATCCATATTTACATTATCAACACTTAACTGATCAAGTAACTTAGTTTTGTCATTTAAAATATCAATTGTTGTTAAAATATCCATTTGTGGCTTTTGTAAATGAATAATCAGTGCATTTATTGATGAAAATAAATTCTTCAGAAATAGTAATATTGTATAAAACGTGAATGATTTTAATTTTTTTAAAAGATTTCCAGCGATAAAACGTGATTTAGCTTGTTTATCATTTACACTTAAATCATCAAGTGTTTCAACAATTTCTTTATATGATATTAATACTGCTCTAATTGAATTATATCGATCAGACCAGCGAGTTTTTGATAGATCTTTAATTAATAGACCTAAA